TCTCTCGCTGTCTCCCTGTCTCTCTTTCCCCTCTCTCGCTCTCTCCTAAGCTTGTGGCATGGCAGGCACTTGGCAAATGGTCAATAAATTACAATAAAATATTGTTTTACTAAAGAGTGTTCAGCTTTAATCATCTTCTAAAGAAATACACATATGACCTTTGTTATAAACAAGTGTCATCAACTTCACAAATGTATCATCCATCTCAAAAATGCTGAAATATTTTGACTCCAGACCCCCCCACCCCTGTAAATCTATCCTAAGGAAATAATACTATCCTAAGAAAATAAACACATGGAAAGCATTATGGAGCCAATCCAATAAATATGTAAATGTTAATTTATCTGTGACACATATATTTGAAATATCAGGTGCCCATTAAAATATTTATGATTTTTTTATAAAATGAAAAAAAATGCATGTACATACATGGATGTTAAGCCAATAAATTTGGGTAAAATTAGTGTATATGACATGACTTCAGTTACTTAGAAGATATTCAAAAGAATTAGATGGACATTATAAAAATATGACCAGTAGCCAAGATTTCGAATCATTTGATAATGCAGGGTTTCTCTCTTCTTCATAATTTTGTGTGCTTTCCCAAATGTTTACCTATTATCTTTATGGTGCACCAATCCCCAGTTGATTTTTAAATTAATTAACCAATTTTAAAAATATTTAAGGCATGCAAAAGTACAAAATTTAATGGTAACAAAGGGTGTACTGTGAAACTCAAGACTTTCCATCTACCCTTATTGACTTTCTTCCCTCGTCTGAAGAAAATTGCTGTTAGCTGTCTTGAGTGTATAATTAATTCCTGAGATAGCCTATGGAAATGCATAACTTATTCTGCCATTTTCCATTGATGTATAGGCAGACTGCCGTTGATCCACTGGTGTTCACAACCATGACTACAAAGACTATCTTGAAATTCAGTAATTTAGAAGCATATATCTGAGCATCGATTATTTTGTATTCGTATTTCCTGATGTGATTCTTCAACCATTGATTTAGGGTCTTGTATCTTTGTAAATTATCTTATCTTTATTGATTGCTCCAGAAGTAGAATTAGGCTCTCACTGTTTTCTTTATCTTCCCAGTCTTTTCTCAACTCCTGGCTACCTCCAAAGTAGATGTACTTTGTATCGCTCTGAAAGGCACAACTGAAGCCCAAGAGCTGAAATCATAGGGACGCACATTTCAAGTCACCATAAAGAAGCGCTTTCTCATAAAAACGGTAGTGACAGTGCAGTAAGCTCCATATCCATACTTATTTGCCATTTCTAATGACCTCTCTCTCTCTCCTGAGCTACCTTATGAGGCAGTGAGTTCTTCGGCATTAAAAATATTTCAGGAGAACCTGAAAGGACCCATCAAATATGTTGAGGGAAAACTTGTAAATGTTTGTCTGGGATGACCTAAAATGTTTTTAAGATTCCCCCCACGTCCGACATCCTCTTTTGTCTCTGTTAAAACGTTTGGGTTAAGAATTTAGTTAACATCCTAATAACTTACTAAGAAGGGACTGAAAAGTCACTCAGCTGTTAGCTTTTTACACTATAAAAAAAAGGAATGGAATAGTCATGTCAGAAGGATACCACGCAGATTAATTAGATGATGTCTGCAGTGTGATAAAGATTATACAATACCAGGTCTCCCTAATAATAAAGGCTGTAGAAAGAGCCAATTGGACTTTTCCCATTTAACCAGCACTTTGTAATGGTAAAATGGAGGGCAAAGGGTGAAATGGCCAAAAAGAATAAAAGAATAAAAAGAGGGCCTGGCACGTAAATGCAAATGCTTAAAAACACACACACACAACAACTTAATTAACCTGTAGAGACCTCTGCCACCTAATGGTCTCAAAGCAGATAAATTAAACAGAATATTTTAAAGGGATTACAGTTTGTAATGAGAAAAGGATCTGCAGTTAACCAGCATATCCTGGTTTGGGCTTTTAAAATGACCTTCTAATCTTGCACTTTTAAACATAAACTTTATTTTTAGAATAGTTTTAGATTTATAGAAAAATTGTGAAGATAGTTCACAAAATTTCCATATGTCCCACACCCACTTTCCCCAATTATTAACATTTTCCATTAGTGTGGTGTGCTTGTAATAATGAATGGATATTTATGTATTATTATTAACTGCTGTACATATTTCATTCAGATTTCCTTAGTTTTTTTCCCCCTAATTTCCTTTTTCTGTTCTAGGTCCCCATCCAGGGTTCTAGATTACATTTATTGTTTTTTCATAAATTTATTTATTTTTATTTTTAAATTAACGTTTATCGGGGTGACCATGGTTAGTAAAGTTACATAGGTTTCAGGTGTACAATTCTGTAATATGTCATCTATATATTGTATTGTGTGTTCACCACCCAGAGTCTAGATTACATTTAGATTCATTTTTCCTTAGGCTCTTCGTATGATAGTTTAATTATTCCTCTTTTCAATAGCTGCTATGAAGTGAATTCAATATGTCCTTCCCAAAAACTCATGTTAAAGCCCTAACACTCAATGTTATAATTGGGAGATGGAGCCTTTGGGAGGTAATTAGATTTAGATGTGGTTATGAGGGTGGAACCCTCCTGATGGGATTAGTGCCTTAAAGGGAGACACCAGAGAGCTTGCATGCCCAGACCCCACTCTGCCCCACTGTGTGAGGACACAGTGAGAGGGAGGCCACCTGCAGCCCAGCTCCCCAGAACCCCACATGCGGGGACCCTGATCCTACAGTCCCTCCTTCAGAGAAAGTAATCGCTGTTGTTTAAGCCACCCATTCTACAGCCCTTTGTTATGGCAGCTGACACTGACTCAGACAATAACCCTGGTGGTTCTGAGGAGTATTGAGCAGGCATTTTTTAGATATCTCTCAATCTGGATTTCCCTCGTGTTTTTCTAATCAGTTGACTGGAGTTTTATGTGTTTTGGGGGAGCAAGATCACAGAAGTAAAGTGCCATTTTCATAACACAGCAAAGGTACATACTATCAACATGACTTACCACATGACCTTGATCAACTGGCTGAGGTCAGGTTTGTCACGTTGCTCCACTGTAAAGTTGTGACTTGTTTTTCCCCTTCCATAATATAGTTTTGTGAAGGAATTCACTATGTGCATTCCATACTTTTAAAGAGTAGGGAGCTATGATGGCAGTGTATCTACATAAATTCTTTGGGATTCTATATGGGTAATTTGTCTCTCTTCTTCCCATTAATCTATCTATTCAGTCATTTATTTGAATCACTATTGACTCATGAATATTAATTTTACACTTTGAGTAATAAACCAATATGACTTTCCTTAATGTGTTGCTAAACATTTTCCAGCTTTAACCAGTGGGAGCCCTTTCAGTTGGCTATTGTGTAGTTTTGACATATTCTCTTCATTTTTCTCTTCTTGAGCACTTGTTATCTTCTGCCACTACAAGGTGCTCTAGGCTTATCCTGTATATATATACCCTGCCTCAGTGGAAGAATCAGCCATTTCTCCAAGGAGTCTCTTTTTTAATTGGTGAGCAATAATAGAGACCAAGATGTGAGCACTAAGTGTGCTAGGGACATACACTTTTGCAGCAACTTTAATTTTTATCTTCCCTGCAGATATTCATGGGAAGTTTCTGTTGCTAATGAGACTAAAACCACTTAGTTCTCATGTTAGGCAAGATAGCATATGTGATGGATTTGTGTAAGCTATAATATAAAACGTCATAGATATGCAAAGGACATCTACTATACATCTATATCATAGGTCATAGACTGAGTGACCTCATTGGCATGACCTACATAAGGACTAATGGGCAGTGACCAAAGAAATAAGGGAAAATGTTACACACACATGTACACACACACACACACACACATACACACGTACATCTTCTCAGTCATTTTCACTCACTAGGATTGTCGATTTCCAACTTCTAAAAAAAAAATTAACAGTATCTGGAATACTGTGCTCTTTACAAAGAAATCTTAATTCTTCTTTCTTCTTTCTATACTTCTAAGTCTTCAGTGTTTATTTATCAAAACATGGATGTCTGTATAAGTACCTTCTGCTTGGCTTCAAGGTTTTTTGTTTGTTTGCTTTTGCATTATTTTCTTCACTGAAGGAGTCTTAACATTATTAGTTTTAGTCACCTAATTTTGAACAGTGTAATCATTTAATTGGTTCTGAAAATGCTCTAATAGTAGGCTAAATTAGATGAGCACATTTGCCAAATTTTTCATGCAAAATTAAAATAATAATAAAAAAACAGCCTCTACCTGGAGAGCAGTGGATAGGATGGACATCAAGGGTGTGTTGTTCAACTTTTTCAGTTACGTAAAGGAAGCTGACCCAAATCTCTAAGTATAACAGAAACTGAAAGACACTGCTCTTTGAGTGGGATTGATAGGCAACGCTCTTCTGAGTATGCCTGTGAAATGGCAGGTCATGTGGTTTTTTGTTTTGTTTTGTAGATTTTTTTTATCGGGGGAATTAGGGGGATGGGAACAGTGCTGGGGAATTGGGGGAAGGGGAACAGACAAGTTGCTGTCGTTTTGTTCTTCAGTCTAGTGTGGAGGACGTTGCTTCACTGGCCCAAGCTGGCACCATCATTGCTCTCTTCCTGGGCGAGGCAGATCAGTCGCCAGCTTCTGGACGGCCGCTCTCGGCGGCTGCTGGTCACTCACGCTGGCTGCTGGCTACATACGGTAGCCCATGGCAACCCACTGCCACAGGGGCTGCAGCCTACGCCGTCCCTGGCAACTCATGGCATCCCAGCTCCAGGTTGAACTGTTGTTCAGCATCTTAGCTGTAGAGGGCAGTGTCACTGGCCCTCATATGTGGGATCCGAACCGGGGCCCTCTGGCGTCCCAAGCCAGCTCTTAACCAATGCGCCACTCGGCTGGCCCCAGGTCATGTGGTTTGAAGAAGCTCACTCAGTATCATAATAGTATGTCTGCTTAAGTAAATATAATTCTTAAAAACTCAAAATGTGAAGCCTGATAAAATTGCTTTGCTTGATTAGGCCTGAGTTTGAAAGGCAGTTTCATTTTAAAATGACAAGGGAGGGGGGACGTTTCGTTTTTTTTAATCTCTGTTACTGTCATATTATACAAGTCCATGATTTTGCCTATGTGTCTGTAAATAGAACCTCCCCAGCACACTGAGAATCAAGCTCCTCTCCTTATCCTGGCTCCCAGCATCCCGCACTGCCTGACCTGTCTCTCCCTCCACCCCTCTTCTCTTCCGTCCTATTCTCTACACATAAACCACCCTGGACGTCTTTCTGCCCCTCAAACGTGCCGAGCTTACACCTCCCCACTTAGGCTTTCAACACACTCTCTTCCTCCCGTCGGGAATGTTCTGTTCTCACTCCTTCCCAAGGCTGGCTCCTTGTCATCATGCCAGGCCTCCTCTCAAATGCTCCAAAAGGCCTTTCTTTCATGCCGCGTCTAAGTAATGCCCAACTGTTTTTCACATCACTGCTCTTTTGTTTTCTTCAGAGCACATATCATCACCTGGACTTATGTCACTGGTTTATTTATTTATATGCATCATTTTATTCAACAGATATTAGAAAGGGCCTACTGTGCGCTCAACACCATTGGAGGCTCTGTGCATATAACAGTAAACAAAATAGACAACTCCCCTAACTTTGTGATGCCTACCATTATATTGGGGTACAATGGCCAGTTAGAAAATAGCAAAGGTCATATGTCATATGTCAGATGGGTGCAAGTACTATAGAGACTTATAAAACAATGGAAGGGGAAAGGGAGGGCTAGGGGTTGGTGGTGATGATGGTCAGGGTGCCTTTTCTTAATAAGATGGCTCATCAGCAAACTTAAAGGACGGCTGGAGTTAGTAACAGAAAGATCCTGAAGCAGGAATGTACTTGTTGTATTTGAGGAATAACATCAGACTCTAGGTGACTTGCGTGGACCAGTTGAGGCAGGGAGTAGCTCCAAAGGTGATGATGACGTAGGGGCTTGAGGCCGCCCATTTCCCCGTAGAGATGAAGGCACCTCTTCTGTAGGCATTTGAAGTGGTGGATGTGTCCACCCTCTTTGTTCTCCCACTCTACAGATGCTGAGGACAAGGAGCTCTTCAGCATTACTCCAAAAACCTGAGGTCACAGTAGGTCCAAGAGTAATGATGATAGTAAATTATCAGAGTTGAATTACCGGGAGGTTGATTGCTACATCTAATCCAGCAGGTCTAGTTCAATGATTACTTAAATACATTCCAAGTTGTCTTTAGGTTTAAAAAAAAAATGCACTGGAATATTCCTCCACAAAGCTATTTTTTTTCCTTGAATGTTAGCCATCATAATTTGTTTAGTAGGCTAGAGCTTTAAAATACTTTAAAAATCTAAGCTAACTTTTTAATGAGTAACATTTAATATTGTTAGTGAAGGCTTAAATCACATAAACTGACATAATGAAAAACTACACGCACACACACGCAGAGTTGGCCCTCCATATCTGCAGATTTCAAATCTGCAGATTCAACCAATCACAGGTTGAAAATAGTTTTTGAAAAAAAAAATCCCGGGAAATTCCAAAAACCAAACTTGAATTTGCTGTGTCGTGAGCACTCTACTGAATTCACGTGAATGAAGCGATGTGTAGGTGTGTCTTGTAGTGGCTTGTATGCAAATATATGTTCTATGCAAATACTATGCCATTTTATATTGGGTTGTCAGAAAAGTCATGATGTATTTTTTTTGTTTTTCGTTGTAAATGTGCGTCATGACTTTTCCGACAACCCAACATAAGGAATTTGAGCATCGAAGCATTTTGATATCCACAGGGATCCTGAAACCAATCCTCTGTGAATAATGAGGGATGACTGTATACACTTATAAAAATTAGCAGAGCTGTATTCTCCAAGAAATTCCATCCTTGGCCGTGTTCTTACTCTAACACTCATTCCTGCTTTTTTCTTTGGAGTTAGCACCTGCTCCGGGTAGGTCCCTTTCGGACCACTGTATGTTGTATGGAAACTAAAAATGAACGATACTTGTCAAAATAATTTTCTGAAATACTGTTCTAACACATTATTTTGAGTAAAAATGTTATTCCAAAATGGTGTTCCATCCCCTTTCACTACAAATATGGTACTTAATTATGATAAAAGGGCTTGTATTCCAAGTGATGGTCCTACTTAATATTAATGTTTAACTGAGCCTTTGATTTATATTTATTTAATTTTTTCCTTTTTGGGATGCCTGAGTTGTAGACTGAGGAAGTTATAAATGGGTTCAGCAGATTTTTGTCTGCAATACAGAACTGAGCTGCAATCTATTCACCTTTCCCCCATTACAGATGTCCATATACCAGGTCATATTATTTCTGGACTGGGCAAGCATACCAGATTGGTGTCCCAGGCCAATTTTAAAAGCCTTAATAGTGAGACACACATAAGTATCACACAGGGTAACCCATCATCCCTTCAACTGATTGGTGCAGTTTTGAAAATGAAAGCAGAATTGCCAGGAGGTATAAAAGAATGCATCTAGGACAAATTTGGACCTCCGTGTTATTCCTAACCTGGCCATTTTGTCTTCATAGCAAACCACTATCTTTCCTTATGCAATAATGTTGAGATCAGTGCCCAGTTCACAAGGGCACCATGCAGCTTATTAAATATAGGTAATGTGTTTTGGAAGTGCCCTTGGAATGAATGAGATGGATGCAAAACAAGATTAACCTCTGTTGCGTGGCTTTTCTGAGTCTGATCAAATGCATAACACATCTTTTTCAAAATGTACATGGGAAAATCCACACTATATGCAAATGTTAATAAACTTCCCTTAGCTTTTATGATGCCTGTTAGGACACAACATAGTTTAGTTGTATTGTCAAATGTGTTTAAGAGCCCCATTTGGTTGCGCATAATGCACATAGGAGAGGAAGGTATTTTCTCCAGTGAAGGAAATTCATTTTATCACACTGAATGATTGATACCATGACTGGAGAAAAGGAGGTGCAGTCAGCATGAAATTGATTCAATTTGCTTACTTACAACAGATACTACAACAGCCTACTAACTCCATTAATAGTAATAATCATTATAAATAATTATTTATAAATAATTGAGGTTATTAAAACATTATAAAAGCTATATATAACCTTTTCACATCTAAAAAATAAAAAACAAAACTTAGGAATCAGGGAAAAATCCCAGACAAGTTTTGGTCTTCCTGTTAAATGTTCTATTCATTCGTCCATATCTGCATTTGATAAGTATTTAGCAAATATCTATAATGTGCCAAGCCCTCTACCATTATTTTTAGATACAGCAGCAAATGGCAACAAGTGAAGACCCCTCTCCTCATTGAGCATGCATTTATAGTTATTAGTTTACCATATTATTTATTATTTTAAGTAAAATATGCCAGGTGGTGTTAACTGACTTGGGGGAAAATAGTGCAAGGGATGGGTGGCGATTGTGGGAAGAGGGTTGTGTTTTTAAATAGTATGACTGGGATGGGACATGCTGAAAAAGTGAAATTGGAGCAGAGGTATGAGGAAGGACAAAGATAGTTCCATGCAGATTCCTAAGGTAAGAAAGAGCATTTCTAGCTGAGGACAAGCAAGCACATTGAACTCAAGGTAGGGGAGAAGGTTTAGCAGCCTCTGATCATGTGATCAGAGTCAGTGAAAAAGAGAACAATAAGAGGTAAGATGAAAGCTAATGGGAGCCAGATCTTAGAACTTTTCAGGTCATTGTAAAGGTCTTTTGTGTTTGCAAATAATGAAGAGGTCAATAACTTAGGGGGAGAAATGAAAAGATCATGACATTCTAGAAGCCAAGAGAAGAGAGAGTTTCAAGGAGAATTTTAATAAATAGTATTCTGTACTATCATTTATAATAACAAAATAATCAGTGTTCATTACCTGTGATATTCACAAAACTGTGACATTTATGGGAGTAGCTGCTACATTTGCCTTATTTTCCATTGTGTCTGCTGCAATCAGCCCAGCCTCTGAAACATAAAAACACTCAATAAATGTCTATTTTTAAACAAATAAATACATTTCATACTTTGATAATCACAGCATAATTATTTATTAGCCTTGCATTTTACAGATGAGGGAGAAAAGACCAAGAGAGGGTGAGGGACTCCAAGAGGCGCCCTCAAGTTATCTGAACCTCCAATCGGTGGTTTTTCTCGTCTTGATAATAGAATTCAAATTTTTACAGCAAATGCCTGTGATCCAGGCTTTGCTTCTCCTCTTGAATATTAGAAAAATCCGAACCTTACCTGCTGCTCATTGCTGGCTGTGAGTACGCCTCTCGGTGCCAATTTTGCCTCCCCACTCTCAGATGTCACCAGCTACCCTGCTGAATTCTCATCTTGCCAGCCACAGCCTCGCTTGGGCATCAAATGGCCAGGGTAAACAAATAAGAAATTATCACTTGGAGCAAACATCTGATTATCTCAGCAGCGATTGCAATGAAAACAGAACACAGGAAAGGGCAGCTGCTTACTTCACTGCTTTCATTCCAGGCTCTGATTGTTATGGAATGAGGTGGCCTTTCCACCTGGCAATGGGTCACAGGGCCAGGTGGCGCCAGGTGGCGTGGACTGTGGGGAAGAAGTGGGACGTCTGTGACCCACCCATTCAGGCCGTGATGAGTCTTCAAATCCCAAGGGTGCCCTAATCTGGAAAAAATAAAAATAAAAGAAAGAAGGATCCTAGGGAAATGGTTTGGGATCCTGGCTCTACAATGTATGTGCTGGTGATCTTAAGCAAGATGTTTTACTTCTCTGAGATACTATTGCATCAGTGGGAAAATACTAATAATGTGTACCTCACAAGGCTGTGGTGAGACTTTGAGTATGTGAAAAGCACGAGCTATGCCGGACACCACAAACTGTTGGTTGACTCCCCAGCAAAATGGCACTTGTATTGTCCAGCTTACTAGAGTTCTTAATGGTGATTTGGTGCAAAAGCATAAAATATTAGGCTGGATTACATTGTTAAAAGATAAACTGAGGCATGTTAGAAATTGCAGTAGTTTATTTGACCAAAAATGGATTTGAATTGGGCAGCATCCACTCTAGCAGATAGAAACAAGCTCTGTGGAATGGTACAGAGTGAATGACGTTTATAGGCAGGAGGGAACCAGGACAAGGAAGTTATAGGAGGCCAGTACGCAGGGTGGTTAGCACCAAGTTCCCTTCCTTTAGGGGCTGGCACGTTTCTGTGAGGGAAATGAACTAACTAGTACTGATCCTGTGATTCCTGATTGACAAGATAAAGATTCCATTTCTGGGAGAGCTGGAACTGTCATGAAGTTTCAGTTTGGTGGAGTGACATAAATATTGGGTTGTCGGGAAAGCCATGACCCATTTTTTCAATGAAAAACATAGAAAACAATATGTCATGACTTTTCCGACAACCCAATAACTCTACTTTGAGCTTGTTGTCTTATTTTTAAGAGTATGGGCTTCATCCAGGGAACTATTTCTGTGCCAGAGGGCAGAATTTTGGTATTGCTGGGTCCCTGAGTCTTCTACCATCCAATTGCATGCGATAATTGATGTGATTATAGATCTTTTGGCTCCATTCTAGAGGCAAGTTTTGGGAAATCGTCCACATCTTAGTCGTGGTGGGTATTACTTGTTGAGATTGATCCCATAGTCAACTATGGTTAAGGAGTGTTTTTTAAGAACTGAGTGGGAGCAAGTGAGGTGAGTTGGAGAGGTGAAATAGTTCAATTTGCCTTAATTTATGAAAACAAAATAGATGGATACTTGACTAATAAGAGGTTTAGAAACAATTTTTCCTGTGTCTCTGAAGACAGACGAGGAGCCATGAGAGAAAGGGAGACGAGGCAAGATGCTTATTCAGCTGTACAGACGCCTGGGGGTTGTTCCTGGAGATTTTGGTAAAGGCAGCGCTGACACTAGTACAAATCAGAAAAAAGTTACGTCTTGCTCTAAACAGTTGACTGCCACCCACCTCATAACTGTGGCGAATATACAATACGGCGGTAACTCCAACACGAGTGGCGACTGCTTCATATGTACTTAGTTCAATTTGCACAGTCACGTGTTGCAGCCCTTAGAACCAGATTGTTCTTTTGGACATTTAGTTACATTTGATTACCAAAGGCTTAGAAGACAGAGGAGATTTTCTGTGAGGTATGGTTTTCTCTTCCCTTTACGATCCAGTAACTTTGGATGTGTTTTCTGGCAACTCTGTTCATTGTTAGTTTCACCTGAATGTAGTGAGAAACATGAAGATGGTTTTACGAAACCACATACTATGTGTCAGACACTATGCCAATCGCTTTATGTGTAATTTCTCATTCAATTCTTACAAAAACTTGCCAAGGTAGAAGGGTTATTAATTCCATTGTGTGGATGAAGAGACTGCGAGGTGAAAACTTGCTAGTATGTGGCAGACTGGTGTTTGTGCTTGGACTTGTCTGACTCCAAAGGTAGTGCTAGCGAGAATAATACAACATAAAGTAAAAACAAACAAAAACCCACTGTTACTTCTTTCAATCTAGTCCAGCAATTCACATAGTGATCCTGTCATCCTTCTTCTTCATGTATACCAGGGGTGCCAAAAAATGTGTACATGTGACTTGTATTCATCTTTTTTTATTGGTATATATTGAATATTACAATTTTAATACAGTTTTTTCCTTTCTTAAAATGTGTATACATTTCTCTCTCTCTCTCTCTCTCTCTCTTTCTCTCTCTCTCTTTCTCTTTCGCTTTTTTTGTTCTCTCTCTCCATATATATATATATATATATATTTTTTAATATATTTTATAGTTGACATACAATACTATATAAATGTTTATTCACTATGTTGTACACCTGAAACTGTCAACCTTCTTCTTGAAGCCTTCTAATCACATCACATCCATAGAAGGATGCGAGCATTTTAGGTCTTCACTGTTTATAGTATTGTCTGTAGATGAGTAGAATCAACAGCTCCTGGGAGTTTATTAGACGTGCATGGTCTCATCTGTACTATTGTATCAGAATCTGCATTTTTAACAGTATCCATAGGTAACTTGTTTGCACATTAAAGTTTGAGAAATATTACTTTTGGTCCTTGAGGTTTTCGAATCTAACATTCTTCAAGCCTCAGGCAACATTTGCCTGCAATTCTTCATTCAAATAAGACAGTGTGTTATCATAAAAAGTGGAAAAAGTCTAGTTCCTATCTAAGCTATTCAATGACACCGAAGTCACCTTGGGTGGTCCCTTATCTTCTCTGGGAAACTTGAAAGTGGCCTGAGTCAGCAGCCAAATCCTTATGTCCTACTGATAGGAAGATCCAGCCTGCCCTCCTGAATCCAAGGTTAGGAGGTGGAGTTTAGTGTCATAAGTGTTCACATTTCAGGAAGATGCAAGCCCTTTTGAGTCATACACCTCACCACAAGTCATAGAACCCATCCTGCCCTCTCTTCTAACCCTGAACTCAATTGTTGTGTGGCTCCAACAAATTTGCTTTAATGTCCCTGCTCTCTGGCTATAGCTCAGGGGTGCTCTGATTAGCTGCATCCTACGGGATGACAAATGGATGCATGAGCTATTTCTATCTTTATGATGATGCTGCCCTATGATTAGATTCCAGGAGGAGGGTGAGCCTGTGGTGAAGTCTGAGTAACCTCACCCCAACCCTTTGGCAAATAAAATGAAATGTTAAAATCACCAGTGCTTTGAGGCCGTCTATTCTGGGTTTGGGCCACCCCTGCTTTTCAAATCCTATTTTAAACTTCCCTCTGTAGCTAGCAAGCTGGGACAAATATATCATTCCCTTGTTATTACTCACCCTCCTCTGTGTCCACCTCTCTTCCTTATCTGGAGACCTAAGGTAAACTGAGGCAACTGTGCACTCAGAGGGGTGCTTATCCCAGACTCTACCATGTGTGATACAGATAGAAATACTGGAACTGGGGCAGAGATAGAAATAAGAAACAGAAAGGAGGAGAATGTAGGTGGGAGATAGAATGACGATGGATAGAGACGTGCAGAGATGGGGGTGGAGGAACAAAAAGAAAGAGCTTGAGAAGGAATGAAGAACAAGAAATGGGAACAGCTATTTGATAGGAGAAAGGTGTGAAGAGGATAATGAAGAGAAAGGAAAAGAAAAGAAAGTTCTTAAGTAAAGGGAAGACATCAAAGAAATAAAGGGACTGAAATGCAGTGAGATTAATATAATGCACGATAGAAAAAAAGGGTGAGTGAGCGAGATCAAAAAAAGGAAGGTAACGTAAAGGGAGAGATGCAAAATTCAAAGGATAGGGTGGTTATATAATTTATCACCCAAACTTTGAGAGTGAAAGCGGAAGAAATTAATAATGATACAAAGACCATAAAAGAAAACAGGATTGTCCCAGGAAAACAGGGATATGTAGTCAGTCTACCAAGTAGCTCTAAAAATTCTAATTAACTTATTCTCTGCTCCCCATGTATCACTTGCTCTTAGTTGAGGCTCTGTGTGGATCTATTGGAAGACAAAATGACCGTGGAGCAGGGTACACTGCATATAGTGCAGGGCCTATATTGGAGGGAGAGAAAAAGGGTAAGCTTGGGGCTGAGAGCTGTTTTCCAGGAAATAAAGCCCATAATTCTAGTGAAGTTATTTGACAGAAAACCATTTTGTGGTCTCTACTATAGCCAGATATTTCCACATGCTCTTTCATTATGTCTTAGAACAACATTGTGAGTTAGGCATCATTATCAAAATATGACCCCTGATGGGGAAAAATATATGAATGCCTGAAAAGGCACTCTTAGAATACTCTAAGGTAGGTTCAATTCTGCAATGAATCTTTATTCTGCCACCAAAATTTGTCTCTAATACATATACATCTTCGTTTCTAATACTACTCTCATCATTTTCCCGGTCTAACTTTATTTCCGCCCCCTACCCCCCCAGCCCCTTTCTCTGCACCCTCCCCTCTTGCTCTGTGCTTCTCAAAGAAATAGCAGTCCCAGCCTGACTATGCCTGTCTTCTCATGAAACCCTTCACTGCCAGTAGAAACAAGCTGGCAAAAATCGCAGCCTTTAATAAATTCGATCCAAAACAGCGCTTAATCATGACAATACTTAATTCTTACTTAGATGGGAAATAAGGCCTAAGTCACGTAGTTGTTTAGATGATAATTTAGCTATTATTTGGTAAATATGTTATAGTTATTTCCTATAGAGCATGTTGTATGATTATTGACATTATTTAAAGCTGATGTAAGACAGTGGGTCATCTGATTCATACTCTTAGAAGGGAGCTATACCGAGATAAATGAATGATGGGAACAACAACCTTCAATCAATACAGTCCAGCAAAGCCACATAAAGGGAGCATATGAAACAGGAAAGAGACAAGAGCCCGTCTCCGCTTTAGGACAAGCTGTGAAAACTGAAATCCCACCATCGACTTGGTCTCTCTGGCCTCAGTTATCAGCCTGTAAAATACATGTTTGACAGGCAGAGTGTATCTGGAAATCCCTGCTGCCGCTC